TTCTGAGTTCAACACTACGGACTGAAGAACCCGGTTAAGCAACGCGTGGTAAATTCTTTGCTCAAAGAGATTCACGGTCAAGACAAAGATCAAACCGCCGGAATCGAGCTCACCACATCTGAAGTTCGAGGTCGACTTCTTAAGCATTGTGCCATCACGCCACGCAGTTCGGAAAAGGCTGGATCAGGGTTTCGATAGATATGCGTGCAGTGAGAGGAGAGACGTTTTGCAACACAATGCCAACCTTGTATATCCCGGTAGCCGCTTTGCAGGTAAAGGTCTTTGCCACTTATGAACATTACAGTCCAAAGTTTGCATACGTCTGAGAAAATTACTTAAAGCTGAAGTTAATCGCGTTCACATATTGCGCCATGATGTACACCGGTACTGGCATATCACCGAAAGTTAGTCTTGGATCATGAGTGGACGTGGTTGTCGTTGTCTTTTCATCTATGCCTAGACCGTGGTTACTGAGCTTGAGTCAAAATCGAGATGTTTTGAATTCGAGTCCCTGACCAAGTCACTCTAATTTCTTCGTTCCGAGGTTGATAAATGAGTGGGAAGGGAATTGCTGACTGCGCACTATAATTGCCACATGGCTGTAGATTTTATCTTTACAGTAAGGTACTCCTCCCTGCCTGTTGGCATAGAAATAAAAATCTGCTCCCTATCATTAACTTCATGAAGAAAAGGCTTCCAGAAATGGAATCATCATGATAGTATAAGGAAGACGAGCATTCAAGCAGTTACAAACTCTCCTTGCCTTTCCTAACTCTACGCAAAGTAAGTATGAAAGTTGTTTTGATTAGTGAAGTTTCACAAATTATTTCGATGCATTGCTCACAGATAATAAACAGTTGTGGATGGTTTCAGAATCCTTTAATTTCAGTGCGTTTCGAGGCTACATATTGAAATAATGACCATACTTAAGTGTAAATGTGGCCTTTTAAAAAATATCTAATTTGTGTAATGTAACGTTGACTGTTCGCAACTTTGAAACAACAGCAGTACATGAATCGAAAAAGTAGCGTAATACACGTTTTCTTATACTCAACGCACAAGTTACTGTAGTCAGTCCTGTGACTTAACAGTACCGACGTTTCGGTTCGTGTCTCATGGGCCATTTTCAACGTAGGTTAGTAGTGAAGTTTCTTGAATGTGGTTGGTCGTATGCAGCAGTCGATAGTTTCGGAGCCATAAGGCCAGGGTCCAAACGACGATATTGGTCAGTCATTATAGTCGGATACATTGACCATAGTATCTTTTGCATTATGTGTAAGTAAACAGTGTTTTGACGCTATTTTTTAAGTATGACCACTGACGCACGAAAGAATTACTCTCTATGGTTAGAGATGGATATTGGATATTGGATACTTTTCTTTCAGTTGTGTTCCAAGGGTTAATGTTTTGCATCATTTTACACATTATCTCACGTTATTTCAGTAA